TAAAATAACGTATTTTCATATGTTTCACTTTTATTCATTGTGGGATATCTCATCAATCCGGTTAATTCTCAGCAAATGGTATCAAAACCGATGATTATCGAATTTGAACCCGGCCTTAATTAGATGGTGAGAGTGTGAACGTCCATGGGTTGTGAAGCAAAAGCCCCGTGGATGGGTTTGCAGGACTCTTTGAACTGCCCCATAGCTAATTGGGTAGTGGAAATTTTTGAAAATTAGCCACTTTTGAAAGAGTTAACATTTCCTTTCGATAACCATGCACGTGGGTCACGGACAAGGTTAGGGTTGAATATCAAAATATTACTATCACATAAATTGTTAAATGTTACATTTTAAAATATTGACTTTTTTTAATTTAATTATTAAAATAATTATAATTATTAATTATTAAATAAAAAAATAACTAATAATTATTTATTATTTAATAAATTAAAATTAATCTATATATTGATATTTTAAAATAAGATTTATATTATATTGTTTGAATTACATATTAAAAATATAGTTTATTTTATAAATTTATTAAATTATTTTTAATAAAATAATATAAAAAATAAATTTATTTAAAATATTTAAAAATTTTATAAAATAAAATATATTTTTAGGGTATAATTCATCATATAAAATATTTTATTTTTAAATACTTAATTAACTATATATTTACAAAAATTATCAAAATTTATGCAACCCTCACCTGGATAATGACTGGTCATAATCGCACATGCGTGTCCCATATATAATTGCGTATTTCGAAAGAAAGAAATATGTGTCACATGCATGGTTCGATGGAAAAAAAATCTGCCGTGTGGGCCTCATATTTCTCCGGCATTGACAAGAAATCTCCTGCTCGATTTTTGAGAGTGGAGGCCAATGGTGGAGTAGCTAGAATTTGTAGTTAGGGTACAGGACAAAAATAGGCCTAAATTCCTTTTAATTCTCATCACACGCCGCCGCCCAATATGCTATCATTTTATAACTTTGTTGAGTTGCTTTCATTTGCTTTTATGAAAATGTGCTTTCAATCATTTAAACATGGTTAAACCCCCATTTTGGTCCCTCAACTATTATATAGATCCTCGATTCAGTCCCTCAACTCAAAAAATTCTTGATTTGATCCTTATTGTTTACCATTTTAACCCCGATTTGGTCCTTTCGTTAAAAATCTACTTATGTGTTCCATTAGTTGACGAAAAATGATGACATGTAAAAATATTTTAATATGTAGGATTGACAACATGGCATATAAAACTTGACATGTAATTTTTAATAAAAATTAAAGTTTATAAAATTAATTGTAAAACTAAAATTACTTTTTTACCCTCATCTTCAACCACACATCAATTTCTTTCCATTTTCCTTTCGTTACCCCTTTATTTTCATCTCCAGCATTCATCTTCTTCCCCTAGATCCTTGTTCGTTGGCCTTAAGGGCTTTGGGTTTGATTGATGCCTATTGGGCTCGATCAATGAACCCAGTAGGCACTCTTAGGTTTGATCGATGAACCCAACGGCATCGTTGGTTCGATCAACGAACCCAGCAAGTGTCGTTGGGTTCATCGATCAAACCCAGAAGCGCTTGCTAGGTTCATCGATCGAACCCAACAAGCATTGTTGGGTTCAATTGAAGGGCCCCTGATGGGTTTGATTGAAGAATGTTGGGTTTGATTGATGTACCCTTGCTCGGTTTGATTGAAGAATGCTAGGTTCGATTGAAGAACTGTTGTTGGGTTTGATTAAAGATACCTTGATTTTTCTGGGTTTTTTTGAAAGGCTGAGAAAGCAGTGACTATTTTAAGAAGATTCTAGGTTTATGTTTGTGTTATGCTTGGATTTGATGTTAGAAAGTGTCTAGATTTGCAAAAGGTGAAACAAAAGGAAAAGAAAAAAGAAGTGGTTGCTAGGTTCAAAAGAACTTAGTTATGCTGGGTTCCTTTGAACCCAGCTTTCAAATCCAACAAAAGAGAGAAATTGGAAAGGAAAATGTCTAGATCTGGTGTTGGGTGAGGGATAGAGAGAGAAAAAAATGAAGGGATGAAATTGCAGGTTTCATTGGGGGGCAATTGCAAGTTTCATCTTTAGGGTTTGTAGAAGGCCAGGAAGAAGAAAGAGAAAGAGGAAAAAAGAGAATTTTTTAAGTATTTTTTTTGCCATGCTGTCTTCTTGCGTGTATTTAATTTATTGACATGTCATCGTGCTTCTGTTAGTTAACAGGACACGTAAGAGGAATTTTAACGAAATGACCAAATCAAGGATTTTTTGAGTTGAGAGACTAATTAATCGAGGATACGTACAATAATTAAGGGACCAAAAGAAGGGTTTAACCTTTAAAAATCAATAGTATCGGGTCCGACACCAAGTGGCATGCTTGTCGCCCCCGCGAGAGACAGTGTTTGGGCATCTAAATATGAGTTCTAACTTAGGCAACTATCCCATTCTCTCAATTTTTTAGTGTCAAAAAAAAAAAATTCAATAGTATTGGAAGTTTCAAAAAATCAATAGTATGGTAAAATTTAAAACTTAAAATATAAAGTTGATAATGTAAAAGTTTAAAATTATCAATAGTACATTAAACTTTTAGAAGTATTTAACAAGTATTAAATTAAAGTTTCGTTTGTTGATATTTCTTACCTACTTTTTTTACATAGTATCTATCTAAAAATATATATTTTTAATTTTTAATTATTTTTAATTATTTTTATGTATTTTTATTAATTTTAATTAATATTTTATACATTTTTTAAAATAATAAAAGATTAAAAAATCTATAACTAGTTAATAATTTAAATAATTCAATGGTAATATTCTATTGTTGAAAATAAAATATTCTAAATTTGACTCGCATAATATATTAATGGGGTAAAATAAAATATGAGAGAGAATTACTTCTCATTATGCAATAAAAAATCTTTAAAAAAATGTATAATTATAACATAGCACAACACTGACAAATAAAACCTAAATCAACAACTCAAAAATAATTTAACAATTAAAATAATAATTCTTTACCACAAGACAATAGTTACAAAATGGACCATGATTGGTGCACACCTGGATTCAACACCCGGGTGTGCACACTTCACATAAAAAAAAAAATGGACTGGGTGTTCTCATTTTTTTTTTTTTATGTGGAGGGTGCACACTCGGGTGTTGAATCCGGGTGTGCACCAATCATGATCCATTTGAACTACATGTAATTTTAACTTTGAAATATAAAGTTTTATATATATACATATGTATTTAGACAAAATTCAAATACATTACATTTAACTAAAAATAAACAATGTAATTAAATTTAGAGCTTCAAATTCAAATACATTCTAACCAAGTT